CCAGTAAAATAACCAGTAAAATAACCAGTAAAATAACTAGTAAAATAACCAGTAAAATAACTAGTAAAACAACCAGTAAAATAACTAGTAAAATAACCAGTAAAATAACCAGCAAAATAACCAGTAAAATAACTAGTAAAATAAAATAACCAGTAAAATAACTAGTAAAATAGCCAGTAAAAAAACCAGTAAAATAACCAGTAAAATAACCAGTTAAATAACCAGTAAAATAACCAGTAAAAAAACCAGTAAAATAGCTAGTAAAATAGCCAGTAAAATAACCAGTAAAATAACCAGTAAAATAACCAGTAAAATAGCTAGTAAAATAACCAGTAAAATAACCAGTAAAATAACTAGTAAAAAAACCAGTAAAATAACTAGTAAAATAACCAGTAAGATAACCAGTAAAATAACCAGTAAGATAACCAGTAAGATAACCAGTAAAATAACCACTAAAATAACCAGTAAAATAACCAGTAAAATAACTAGTAAAATAACTACTAAAATAACCAGTAAAATAACCAGTAAAATAACCAGTAAAATAACTAATAAAATAATCAGTAAAATAACCAGTAAAATAACCAGTAAAACAACCAGTAAAATAACCAGTAAAATAACCAGTAAAATAACCAGTAAAACAACCAGTAAAACAAATCTCCCCACGTCCCTTTAGACAGCAGGGTTGGCAGACACTGCCAGCGCTCTCCAAGCTTCCACGGGGCAGGTCAGGGGATGCTGCAGCCTCAACCCTGAGATAAGGGTAGATTAATCCCACCCCAATCACCCCTTTTTCCCTGTTCCCCCGGCAGGGTGACAGCCCTGTGGGAGGACAGCAGCGGGCAGATGTTCCACGCCCACTGGTTCTGCCCGGGCTCGGACACGGTGCTGGGGGCCACCTCGGACCCCCTGGAGCTGTTCCTGGTGGACGAGTGCGAGGACATGCAGCTCTCCTACATCCACGGCAAGGTCAACGTGGTCTACAAGGCGCCCTCGGAGAGCTGGGCCATGGAGGTGGGTGATGATGATGAGGATGATGATGAGGATGATGACGCCCCCCCCACCCTGAACACGAAGGGGGCTGATGGATCGTGGTATGGATCAGGATCAGCGGGAACACAAAGCAGGGAAGGGATTTTTTGGCCTGTTCTCACCCCCCTGGGGAGGCCAAACCTTGAGTTTTGTGTCCAGTTTTGGGTCCCTTGAGGTCAGGAAGGACTTTTGAGGGGCTGGAGAAGATCCAGGGAAGAACAACCAGGGTGGGGAAGGGAGGGAAGAACAACCAGGGTGGGGAAGGGAGGGAAGAACAACCAGGCTGGGGAAGGGACTGGAACACAATTCCCATGGGGAGAGGCTGATCAGGGGCTGATGGGATTAGGGAAGGGATTTTTTGGCCTGTTCTCATCCCCCTGGGGAGGCCAAACCTTGAGTTTTGAGTCCAGTTTTGGGTCCCTTCAGGTCAGGAAGGACA